GCTTTTTGCACAACAAAAGAAACCCACCAACAGAGTGAAGAAACAACCCAGTATGGGGAAAAATATTTTTTGCCAGCTGTTCCTCAAAGGACCATTACTTAAAAAAAAAAAAAAAAATCAGACCTCCCGCAAATTTAAAGACCAAATCCAAAAATGGGCATCTAAAATAAACAGACACTTCTCTGATGAAGTACAATATATGCAAAAATGTTCAACATCACCAGTCAGTTGAGAGATGCAAATTAAAACAACACTGACACTTCATCTCACTCCAGAAAGAATGGCTACTATCAACAACCAATTAACAAATGTTGGCAGAGCTGTGGGGAAAAAGGAACCCTTCTCCATTGTTGGTGGGAATATAGACTGGTACAAGCACTATGGAAGCCAGTGTGGAGATTCCTCAAAAAACTATGATTAGAGGTTCCATTTGACCCAGCTATTCCCCTTCTTGGTATCTTCCTGAAAGAATTAAAGTCATCATAACACAGTAATATATACATGCTGGCGGCTAGGCTACAGAACCAAGATCTCATAGTCTCCAGGTTGGTGTTATTTTGCCTCAGGAACAGGGAAATATGTGGAAAGCAACATGTCCCCTGGCTATAGACGGAACGCTGATAACAGTGAATGATAACTGGGCACTGGAGGCAAGACAGCATCTGCGGAGGACAGCTGTTAATATTTGGGTGTAGATAAAATCTGGTTCCAACAACTTAAGCCTTATCCACCCATTCTTTATAGTTGCTGTTTCATAAGTGCTATCCCTAACCCTGTGCTTCTCACTGGCTAATAAAGGTGGGCAAACTGCAGTTTTATTTGAGTCTGCCTGCTAGCAGCAGTTCTCCTCTTGGTCCCCCACTTCGTATCTTGAAAATTCTGTTTAATTCTTTATTGTTAATTGCCCAAAAGGTAGCTGAGGGTCTAATTAGCCCTTGATTTATGCACATCCATGTTAATAGTGGCAGTTTATAATAGCTAAATCTTGGAAACAGTCCATGTGTTCATCAACCAGAAGAATGAAGATTTGGTTTTTTGTTTTTTATACAATGCAGTACTACTATCCCAAAGAGGATAAGCCAAGACATTTCTAGCTAAATGGATACACCTCGAGACCGTACTCAGGTGAAATAAATGGGACACATAGGCTTAAAAACTGCATTGATTATCTGGTGAGAAAATGAAAATGGCAACAAGGACCAAAATGTTTAATAGATATTGGAAAATGGGAAGAAAATGTTCAAATGAGAAGGGGAAGAAGGGAGAGGGAAGGGGGGAAATGAAGGAGGGAACAAGAAAAAAAAAAGAACAGAAGAAAAAATGGAAACGATTGTAAATAAGGAGGGGAAGAGGGATCGGAGGGGAGGGGAATGGGAAAAAAAGATGAAGCAAAATGTATCATGTACAGGTACAAATTGCCAAAGATGAATGCTATTATATATATCTAAAATGTACTAATAAAAATAAAAAGCCATTAAAAATAAAAGAGGGTTGGGCCAGTTGTTCTGCTGCCTGATTTGCAAGCACAAGGTCCTGAGTTCGATCCCTAATACCAAAAATAAACCAAAAAATTAAAAGAGTGCAGACTGGTGCAACCACAGTGGAAATCAATACCGAGATACCTCACACAACCAGGATTAGAGGTCACATTTGACCCAACTATTCCTCTGCTGGGTATCTTCCCAAAAGAATTAAAAAGAATCATACCACAGTGATATATGCTCACCCATGTTTATAGCAGCAATTTGTAATAGCTAAAACTTGGAAACAGCCCAACTGCCCATCAACTGGAGACTGGATAAAGATGTGTTTTTTTTATAAAATGGAATGCGACTCAGCCATAAAGAATGAGAAAATATAGAGATTAATTGCTAAGTGGATGAACATTGAGTCCATACTCTTAAGTGAAATTATTAAGTTACACATGTATAAATACCGAATAATTTGTCCAATGTGAAAAAGTAAAAGTATAAATAAGTATTAAAATGTTTAATTGATATTGTGTAATAGGAAGAAAAGTCTAAAAGAGTAGAGGAAGTGGAAGGGGTAGGGGAAAGGTAAAAAGGGAAAAGAAAAAATATGTGAAAAGGAAAAACATGGAAACAATGTCTTTGTAAACAGGAAAGGGTGGAGGGGGGCTAAGGGGAGGGCTGGGAAATGGGGAAAAATTAGAACCTGATAAATCATGTATAGGTACAAGATCCCAATGAATATAGCTGTACTGTATACCTAATATGAACCAACAAATTTAATAAAGATTTTAAAAAGGAAAAAAAAAAGAAGAAGGTTGCTGCTTGTCACTTGCTGCTTTCTACCTGCCCTGCTTTGCTATGAACAATTTAACCTCTGAGATACTTTTCTATGATACCATTCTTCCTTGGAGTCAGCCAACTATGAACTGAAACGTCTGCAAACTTTGAGTTCAATAAACTTTTCCTCCTAAAATAAAACAAAAACAAAACTGTTTTACATAGTTTCATTTATCTAGTATCACACAGCATACTTTCAGAGTACACCAAGTTATCAAAGTGAGACCCTCACCTTCTAAAGCATTTTGTTACTAATAATCAGACCATGTAATTTGAATCAATTACTGCTTTATTTATTAGGTCTTCTTGTGAATAATGAGCATCTTAATGCTCATGTACAACTTTAGAACACTAAATGCCAACTTTTTTGTTGTTTCTTCAACAAGTGATCATAACAGCTAAAACAAAATTATAAGCTAACAGCAATTCCAGGTGCATAAACTATGCTGCTTTTCCTGTACTATGTCACCAGTGCAGTGGGTATTCCTCCACCCAGTTTAACAATGTTCAATACTCAACTACAGATACAGTAAACTCTTAATTTTACAGATTCACTATATGCATTTTAGTTATTATGGTTCAGTTAGTACCATACCCTTCAACAGCTCAGGTCAAATTTTAATTACCAATACATATTTACCAAGGTAACTGCATAAAACAAAAACTAACTTCTCAGTCCACAAATACCACACAAGTAACTACGTAATTAGCAAGAGCACACTGTAATCAGTAACCAGCCACATCACTTCCTTCAGTGTACATTAGAACCTGGTCATTGTCCATCTGTTACTTAGTTCATAAAGAGATGGCAAAGCATAGTCTTCTATCTCATCTCCTGGTGACAAACTGAATGACACAAGAAAAGTATATATAAGTGAGAGGGAACTGGCCAACAAAGTTTAAGTACAGTAAAGAAATGAAAAGTGATGATGCTATAAGTGAAATTCAAATAGAAAGTAAATACTTAAAAGAAATGGTTGACTATGGGAATGTAGCTGCTATTGCTGTTAAGGAGACTCTAGTTTTGCAGCCAGAGGCACACAGATGAGGGTGACTTTCTTGTCATAAATTACCAAAGTGGCTGTAATGAAAATGTCCCAGAGAAACTGATGCTGACAAAAAACTCAAATCAACGCAAATCTCAAATACTTCCCGGCAATGGAAAATTCGAAGGATTAAAATGCTGTAAGCCAATCCCATATCAGAATGTATATGACAATTCAGCAAGGTGTACAGAAATGATCTGCTCCTTATACTAAGGTATATGGAGAAAGCAGTTAAACACTACTCAAACTATGCTCCGTTTTTTTCTTTCTTTTCTTTGCAAAGTAAAAGACTTTCTCAGTATTACTGATGTTTTAAATTAGTGTACTACGTAAATTTATTTTAATATTTGTTATTGTTTCTCTACTTGTAACCAACAATAAAAGTTTTAATGCTTTGAAAAAAACTGAAAAGTCATAAAACGATTGCTAATTTTGCCACTGGTTTTTAAAATTCCTTTCCACAGTTCCAGCTATTGCTACAGTCCTATATTCTCATGGAATACTAGGATTCCCTGTATTGCCACCAATCATTAGTTTGGAAACAGAATCAGCAACTTGTCTCTAGTTTACCAATAGCAGAAGAATGAGACTACAGATGAATTTCAGCATTTTATTAACGTTAAATATAAGGTAAAAATTATTAAACACCTGAATACAAAAAAATATATATAATAGACTCAAAACCAGAAAAGTAGTATCAACTTCCAGTCATCTGTAATTAGAGAAAGGGAAGAGCTAAGTAGTGACTTATGCCAAATAAATCAAGATAAAATCTAAGCAAGTTTGTTTCCTAAATACAAAACCTGATATCCAAAACCTTTTATTACTTCAGATTTGGTAGATAAGAAAAAAGGATCTCACCACATATTCTGCTATATTAACTCATAAATTATTCACTTAAATCTCTTTATTCTAGAATGTGATAATGAATGGCTCCAGTCATATGCCCTAAATTCTCAAGAATTCTGGTACATAGTTGTGAGAGCAGAGGAAAGCAGCACTTGTTGAAGTTTTACATTAAATTAAATGTGAGTTTTAAATCCACTAATCTAAATATCTAAAAGGAAGTTTGTTAACCTAAATACAAGAGCCTAATTTATAAGATGGTACACTAAGTTGACAATGTGCAGGCAAAAGCAAGCCTTTTCAGTTATGAACAAATCTGAGGGAATATTCTTGGATTACGCAGACTCAACAATTTGGTCTTAATAACAAAGTAAAAGCACATTCTTACGATTTTTTTCCCCTTAAAGTGACTATAAAAACTTCAAAGTATAATTCAACAAAATGCTAGAACAGTTTACTTGTAAGAAATTAAAAGTGGCAAGAGCCAGCGATTTGTAGCTCAGGGGTGCCGCTGCCTGCCTCCTAAGTGCAAGGTCCCATGTTTGAGTCCTGGTACAAAAAAAAAAAATGTGACAAGAAATTTGAGTTCTGCCTCCCACCCCACATTAGTCACAGACTTCTCTAGAACTCATGTTATCTGCAAATTCAAAGGGAATTCAACGTTTGTGATACTGAGGGTTTTGTTAGGTACTTGAAGTGATATGTTATCATAACATACACCAAATATAGTTTTAAAAGGGAGCAAAACATCTCATCAAATTAATATGACGTACAGGATTCCACAGCAGTAAATTTTTACCTTGGTAACTTCTTATACAGGAATCGCTTTAGGTCCTGAAAGAGAATATTGGAAAACCATAATATGCCATCCACTGCTTTTCTAGATCAGTCCTTCCCATCTTTCAGGGACCTCAAGTCCTCACGAATAACTTCTCTTGCTGGGGTTTTATCTCTCCATTTCTGATTTTGATGCTAGTCCGACTGCAGGAGTGAAGTAACCTTTTTCTTTAAGCTTCCACTTCACTATCTATCGAATAGAGATAATCACACAACTATGCAGTGTGCATTAGTATGCTTGGAAATGAAACGAAAAAACACTTCTCAGCAATCAGAACCAATCTTCTTCCGGACCCTGCACCCACCGGCTGCGGTGCGCGCCGGAGCGCCCAGGGTCTCCCGCCTCGTCCCCATCCTCCACAAGCTCACTTCCCTAAACTCCAGTCCCTCCCATGGCTAAAGATGAGGGTTTCGAGTCAGGCGTCCTCTGGAGATGTCACCAGCGGCGCAGAAGCCAAAGATCCTCTCACTACCTAGCGGGATCTGACGCCCACCGTCCCGTGCCTCGGGCCCAGCCACTCGAGCCCGGCCACCGTTCGCTCCTTGCCACCTATCGGAGCCGACTGCTGGAGCCCTCGGTCCACAACGGGACCTGGGTTCCACTCCGGCTGCCTCCTCACGAGCCCGGGGGAACCCCTCCGCCAGCAGCCCACGGGATAACTCACGTCCGCCATGCCGCGCTGTTCCGACCTCCGCTCCTGCAAGACAGAGTTACCGTGAGAGAAAGCCGGCCGCGCCCCTGCCCGGCCGCGCCCCGCCCGCCACCACAGGTTGAGAGCCGCTGGGAACAGACGAATTCTCCCTCAGACTCGCCACACTATCCCCCGCGCCCGGACTCCAGGCGGGGCCGCCCAGCTACCTGGTCTTCTCGGCTGTCCGACTGTCCCTCACAGCCCTTTAGCAGCAGATTCAAACACAGCTTCCTCTGCCAGCCAACGTCACATGACTCACGACCCCGTCCGAGCTTCCGGAAACACTTGCCAAACCGCAGACAGCGGCTGTCAAGGACTTCCGGGTGAACCCGGCGGAAACAAGGAGCGCACACCACCTAGTACGCCTGCGCGTTCCGCCTCACGTTGCCCCGCCGCAGCAGCATCCTGCGCCTGCGTACCAGGACTGTTGCGCCTGCGCATTTTCCCTTGACTTGCCCGCCATGGTTGTCTCTCAGGCTACCTCGTGTCAAGCTGATGCTTATACTTTATTGTTATCTTAAAACCTTTCCTAGCTGATGAAGACATTTGAGGGGCTGTTGTTTGATGGAACAGCACGAACCAGAGTGCCTGTAATCCGAAGCCCAGCCTTCAGTTTCCGACCATTTCTGGCCTCCCGATGCAGACGGACAGGAGCAGGAGCTAGCTGTGCGCACTGCAAGCTGCTGCTCAGACAAGCGGGCGTTTGCTCCTTCTTCGTGTGGCCCGACGCGCGGCCTGCCATGTGAGGGTTGCCAGTACAGGTCTTGGTTGGTGCCTTGTTTGTGTATTCAGGGAGCGCCTGCTGGTGGAGAGAGCAGGAAGACTACAAAGTTCTGTCGCAGGGAGTTCTCGACTGCACAGGGACGTGTTTTTTACACGGAGTTGTGCTGTGCATCCCAGGGTATCCTGCAGTGTTGGGTCTTTGCGCCTTAGATTCCAGGAACAGTCGAAAATCTTCTGGGGTTAAAATCGTACCCCATTGTAAACAGCCTTAGCCCCTCCTAAGAAAATTGAAACTCATGGTTTGTTGTTTTCCTCTGATTTAAAACAGCAAAATCTCTGAAAAATGAGATCTGTGAACACTTGTTTATTCTGACCTTAGTTTCCAACCCCTAAAGAGTGCAGCAGGAACTAATTCTAGTCCAAAACATTTGAAAAATGTGTGGCTATCTTTTGAAAGATTACATTATAAGGTATAGCTCACTGCTTTTTTCTTAATACATTCATGATGGGCTGTAATTTATATGACTTGCTGCTGTGCAGCTTGAACCATCAGTGGTACATCATGACTATCTCATACATTACTGTACCACTTGTGCCAACAGTGGTACAAGCAGCTGGATGAAACAGTTAGGCATGTACAACCAGTAGTATGGTGGGATCTGCAATTCCTTGTTTCTCACCTCTAGAGCTCTGCATTGTCTCAGGTCCCCATTCACTTCCATCTCCTAACTCTTCAGATCATGGCATTTTCTGCCTGTTTTCACATGGAGCCCTGAGAATGTGTAAATGTGTGCCTTTTCTGGGTGTTCTACCATTTTAATCTCATTGGAGGTTGGGAATCTTTCGTACGTTTCCTGACCACTGTAATTAAGCTATAAAAAACTTCAACAAATCTTAAACTACTCCCCCTGTTTTTATTAATAGCATAGTTCTACTCTTCCTGAATCACATTTGCTTTTTTCTTCCTTGCATCCTCTCCTAACAATGATTTTTGCATTTTATTTTTAATTGATTGAAAACATTGTTTTTATTCAGCAAGCCCAAATCAATGACCCCTCTAGTTTTCCATCACTAGAATAAATATGAAATAATCAACTTAAAATAGGTTTATTTTGGTTCACTTTTATAAGTTTCATTCCATGATGAGCTGGTCCCATTAATTTGGGCATGTAGTAAAGCAAAACTACCGGCCTTATGGTCAGGAAGCAAAAGAGAAAGGAAGATTCTGAGGGCCCACAATACCCTTTAAATGCATATCTGGTGATGTGAAGACATCCAACTGTGCCCACCTCTTAAAGTTTCCACCACCTGCCAAAAGGACTGTGCTGGGGACCACAACTTTACGACATGGACCTTTGGGTAGACTACAGCACAACTTAGTAACAGCATACAGTACTTGCCAAAACAATGTGTACTACTACTTGCTCAAAAACCTTTTGAAACTATCAATGCAGACAATAAGGCTGACAGTCTTTAATGTAGGCCTTACATATCATTCAGTTTTTCTTGTGAATGCATTCTAATAAGAATTCTCTAACCCAATTAATGACTTCAACCTTCCACCAACATAGTAAGTTTCCCCATGCTCAGGCCCAGCTGCTACATTAGGCTGCAAAAAAATTCACATAACTAAACATTATAAATGTTACCAACCAGGGAGCCATAGTAATCCTTGCTAGCCCACTGATTGTAAAAAGGATTCCTTCAAATTATCTTCATTCTTTCTAATTCTTTGCTCTTTATTCTTTCCCTGCTCCCTCATTTTGTATAAACAGCTGATGTTAACAGACTGGAGGCCAGAGAATTGCACCTCACTAACTATAAATCTACCTGCATTTGAGCCTATCCTCTGTGCATTCCTTTTCAAAGAATGCTGGTGATGTCTCTTAGAGTAATTTTTACATATTTGCAAAGGGGTCTGTATATCCTGTGGATACACCAGGGGCTCAGTACTATTATCCCTGTTTTTAATCTATCATCTTTCAGTTTTTTCTACAGAAAAAAAAATCTTTCTGTAGAAATCACATTCTCTTTTAGCTACTACCCTTTTTCTACTCTTTTCATAGCCATTTTATCTTTAGTCTGGTTTTTAATTTCTGCCACCGCACATCCAAAATCCAATCCAAAGAGATCTTACATCTACTTTCTGAATGTCTCTGAAAATCATTCACTTATCTGTATTCCTTTCCTAGTCCATGCCATGATCATCCCTCCTTTGACATTAACCTCCTACTTTTTAGCTGTTCATTTCGGCTACTCTTCAAATAGCAATTTAAAGGATATTCTAAAAATTTAAATCTTATCATGTAACTCTACCCTTAAAAATGTCTAACTTCGAGATAAGGTCTTGATATATAATCCAGGCTGGCCTTCAACTCAGCTTGCAGCCAAGGCTGGCCTTGAACTTGTGATTGTCCTGCCCTAGTGTCCCAAAAATTGAGATTACTGGCAAGCATCACCACACCCAGTTGGTTTTTGACCACTGATAAGATAAAATCCAGTATTATCACCATGGGTATAAATGATATTTTAAGGACTTGGGTCCTATTTTTATTCTCTCATCTACCCTGGAACCCTTATGTAAGGTCATGTTTGTTTTCACTTCCATACTTTTTATGTCTACCACTTTGACCACTCTGTCTGAAACATTTCCCTAGGGTTCACCTTACTCCTGCTTATCTTTTGGGTTTCAGTTTAAACTCAATTTCTCAGAGAAACCTTTCCTGACCCTTCCAGAATAGTTTAGATCTCCTAGATATATACTGTCAGTGTACTCTAATTTTGTCTAGATTATCAAAATTGCAACTATTTACTTGATATTTACTTTCTCTGCTAGGTGTAAACTTCCTAAGAATTTTTGTCTTGTTCAGTGATTAATTATCAACAGAAGTTCACTTCTTGGATTACAGCAGGAATTTACACATTTTTTGAATAAAAGAGTGAAAATATGAGGATACAATACAATAAACCTTTTTATGGTGAGAACAAACCTTTTTATTAATATATTGGGATAAAGTACAGAGACTTAAAGACAAAAATTCATCATAAATCATTCAGTAGAACATTCATTAAAAATAACAGTTCTCACAGGAAATTTTATTTTATATGTCTGATAGAACAGTTTACAAATCAGACATTTCATTTTTAAACCTAATTATATAATATTGAATGCACTATAGACAAAGTAAATTCTCCTTTAAATTTCACTTCATTTAGCTTATACAAGGCTTCCATTAAAATTCCATCATGCCTTGAAATTTTCCTGTAGCTTTTTAAAACACATAAACTAAAACTAAACTTTAAATGGAAAGTCTTACAAAGCAATTTAAAAACCAAAAATAAAAAGGTAAGAAGCATTTCTTAATGCATATTAATTATAAAATACCAATTTTTTTCTTCTAATCTTTATAGTCATTCAACTCAGAAACTAGTCTCTCAAAAGTAATGGCTGGAATACCCCAGTGTCACTGTTAGTGCAGTGCTCACAAAGTGGCAGGATGACTAGAATGGGCAGAATCTCACAGGGACATGGATAAGAATTGCCCACCACCTCCTGCCAGAAGTGACTCAATATCTCCACAGCTGGTCATTAAATTCTCAGTCACTCATGAACTAAGACATTCCAAGAACTATTTCTTACCCTAATGTAGTTCCAGATTGCTACATTTAGAAAGATAAAGTTATTTTTGAAGTATGGGCCTTAAAAAAGGAATCTCTATTAAAACATGGAGATCAACAGAAAGAATTCACACTAATGAAATTCTGTGGACTGATTTTCAAATTTGGAAATAAGGATATCCATTACTAATGGAAGCCCTGCTCTGTGCAAACATAGCGTGGTCTATATTAAGCAATCACATATCTGAGGTATTAGCTGGAAAAAACACATATATACACTTACACAGGTACACATCCACAGAATATTCACAAATCTATTGGCCCCAACACCAGCAGATAATCAAATTAAACGGAAAGGATCACATACCGACAGGAAAATGTTACACAGGGAATTTACAAAAATTTCATCACATAATCCTTAATATAAGGAGTATGTTTTGAATGTATGTTTTGAGGAAAAATATTACCATTTATATGAAAGTATTTATTTAATAGTACTGAAACCAAAAAGGAAGCCTGAATTCTAGGACTGTTGCCTGCCAGATTGAAGGGGGAGTGCAAGAATTCCTTGAACAACCACATTCTATCTGCTCTTTCTTTGTAATTGAAAATCAGAACTTAGGAAAATTTTGGAATTATTGCCAGACTACTTCTTTCCTTTTTACTGGCATTTACAGAATATTAGGTATTTTATTTTATTTATTTATTTATTTATTTTTGATACTGGGGATTGAACTCAGGCCCTTGTGTTTGCAAGGCAGGTGGTGGAATCACTGAGCTAAATCCCTGGCCCATTAGGTATTTTAAATAGGAAGTAGCCTAACATGTCCAACATACAAGATTTTTCAGCTACTTAGTGAAAATTCAATTTCAGATGATTGTTCATTTTTATTATTTTTTTCTATTCAGGTAAGGGGAAATCATGATGCATTCTCTTATAGTTTGCTTCACCCAGTATAAAGATGAATGGTAATACAGGTAGTACTGAATCCACCAAGTCCACACTTGGAATAGAGAAGCTAAATAAATGCATTCTTTTAATCATTTGGTCCTTTGCCATAATACTTGCTTAACTGGAAAAATGGCTCCTTTGGTCCTTACATCCATCAAGAAATATTCCACTGTCTTAACAAAGCAGAAGATTTTTTAAAAAATTAAATACGCAGGGCTGGGGATTTAGCTCAGTGGTTCCACCACCTGCCTTGCAAGCACAAGAACCCGAGTTTGATCCCCGGTACCAAAAAAAAAAAAAAAAAAAAAAAAAAAAAAAAAAATTTAAATATACAGAAATACATTAACATTAGCATGTCACAGGTGCATTTGAAAACATTACCAATCCAACAGACGGGAAATCAAATAATAATTTTATTTTACATCTAGTGCAAAAGATTTGATAGGAAGAAAAATGAAGCATAAAAGTACGATTAAAGTTAAGAGCTAGCATATTACATTCCTTTTCCAGGGACACCTGAGCTGATACACAGGAGAGTACTGTAAAGCACTGGGATGGAGATGCTTTCAGGATTTGACTTTTCTCTACCAAGTCTTTGTAAACCATAAATATGCACATGACGATTGTGAAACAAGAATCCAAATGCTATCCTTCCAAACAGGTTACTTTCACTTAATTATGAAATGGATAACATAAAATTTCTCACTGTTGAGAATAAGTTCCATAGCTGACACATGACTAAATGACTAGTGCCAGTCATTTGGAAAGTAGGAAATCAAAAGAAAAGGATAAAAGGTACTATTTCCTTTTCTTCAAACCTTTGCAAGAACTGTGTGTGTGTGTGTGTGTGTGTGTGTGTGCACATAAAAGGGGCTAAAAAATGTAAAGTATTAAATACAACTACTGTCAAATTTCCAAAATACCAGTTAGAGAAGCTAGTTAAATTCAAAGCCTTTTAGGTAGCAACTAAATGATCAAGTGAAATTGTAAAGATCATGTAGCTAAAAAAAAAAAGAGGGCAAATTTTTGGGATTTTTAAGCATAAAAGAATAACAGGGCTGGGGAGATAGCTTAGTGGCGTAGTGCCTGCCTGGCAAGCTCAAGGTCCTGAGTTCGAATCCCAGTACCAAAAATAAAAAAACACTAAAAGTAACAAACATGAAAATCTTACACCTAAGATATCTAAAGTCTTCTCATCATGTACAATTAACCTAAAGTTACAAGATACTCATTTCCTCCACTGCACATTATAGGGGACTTTAAGAACTCAACCTTTACTTGCATATTTTATATATAGCTCAAATTGTCAGTCACTCAATCATTTCTCAGTTGTTTGAAAATTTTATCAAACACATTTTTCCTAACAAATTATGAAATGTAATGGAATGCAGTAATAGTCCTGAAATATAATACTGTCCAAAAGCCATGTGTGGCTTCATAACATATAACTTCACTTAATTTGATAATTTCACCTATCCCCTTAAAGCAGGGATTTCAGGGAAAAGGAATCAGTCAACAAGGTTTGGTTTACCTAAGAATTAACCATAACAGTGTAAACTTCCCATTGAAACTGGAAAAATAAACATAACATTTTTCAAATTTTTATAAATTTTTGATACATATTAACTTTCATAGTTAATTAGAATGCTACCACATTTTTAAACACTTATTCTACAGCCTCAAGAAAACATTTAAAATTTTATTTTAAGCATTATTTTTCTTTTAAAGGTCATATTTCTAAAAGAATTGGTTAAGTTGTTCATGTTTCCTATAAGAATATGTTTACTTTAACCTCAAAATTAATCAGGCTTTTCTTTTTTAATTTACTTAGGAAGGGGATAAAAAAGAACATTCTTAAGAAAGTATCAGTTTTATTTAACAGGTGTCATAAATCAACTATACCCTGAAAAAACATCCTTTAACAAAAGTAACAAAACCACTCTACCTTGTTCACAGAAAAACTGCCAAAATATGTTCATGTTCCACTGAGTGTGAATCAAAATCATTAAAATATTACTAGCATAGAAGACCAGAAATCAAATAGTTCCATACTCAATATATAGGCACCAGAACCTTCAATTTTCAACTGCTGTTTTTCTAATTTGTATTATGGATCTAATTATAAGGAGCTTATTCCTATAGGATTAATTGAATTACTCAACAGTGAGTAGACCATAGCTTAGAATTTTTAAAGGATGACTTGCTATATCATTCACTATTCTCCCTGTTGCTATCTGCTCACTGTTGTACACGGCCAAATGAATCATGCTCTGATCAATGTTAACAGTAATTTATGTATACATTTAGGAGTTGGCAGTAGGGTTAAAAGGCACAAAGCTGTATTTTAGTAGTAAATTTTCTTATTGTTTGTAGAAGAATCCATTTACCTTTGGATTCTGTATAAATGATCACTAAGAAAATGCAAACTTCTATGGTCAGAAAATTAGGTTGTCTTCATAAATGTTAGCAGCCTTCAAAGACATATAAATGAATACTTGGGTCCTTTTGATTATAGAATTGTAAATGCATAATTATAATTCTTTATTGAAAACCCTCTTAGTTTAATAATTATAGCCATTTCCTCATATTTTCTTTAAAATCTATCAGTATAGCATTTCATTTCTACATATGGCTTAGCGATTCATTAAACTAAATAGCAAACTGATACTCTACACCAGTTCATTTATCTCAGTACTTATTTTGGAATATAGTGGCAATATTAAAAATATTAATTCCTTCTAAGCTGATAATGCTATGAGTTTACAGAAACTTAAATGGTTTTTGGGTTTTTTTCCTTTTGAAAAAACTTCACTGTCTAAACTCCACATACCTAACACCTGACTAGGAAAATGTAATTGTGTCATATAACATTTATTCCATCACCTTAAAAGAAGTATCTCGTAGAGCTAAATACTAAAATAACTTAAGTAAAAAGGCAATAACCTGTATGTGCACAAAATGTTCATTCCATAAATATTTACATGACAAGGGGCAAATGGAGAATCACTATAATTTGAAATCGCTACAGGTGTGATAATCCCTTCTCAAGACATGTTTAGTTAGGAATAGTATAAGCTTTCAAAATGAAAATAATGGCAGAAGCACAACTAAAATATTGTTTAGTTTTCAGTTCTTACTATCTAAAGCAACCAGTAGATCATAAACGGTCCAAGATTTCAGAAACCAACTATTCAGTTTAATTTTTCGTATCAAATCTTGTCTTCAGCTCTCACGATGAAACTGAATTTACAGAAGAGATCAGGAGCGCACTCCCAGGTACCAGTACAGAGCCCTGCTCACCCTCCTTTGTAAAGACTGGTCAGTCGCTCCAGTTCTTTACAGTTGTCCATGCTCAGGGCATCGGCCTTCCTTCGGAGTCGATCATCACGGTACACTTTTGCGGCGTACTGCATATCTGTTTCTGTTAACAAAAATAGTTTGCTAAATACCCATTTTTATCACCTCACTGTTTAAACACAAATGACAGAAGAACTTCAAGTGTATTTCTCTTTAACTGGCTTTCTAAAAAGAACAAAGAAACCCAAGTATCATGTCTGAAAGACGACTGGGCAGTACAGGGGACGGAAGAGAGGGCCTTGTAAACACTAGACAAGTGCTCACTGTTGAGCTGGATCCCAGCCCTTTCTTGAGACAAAGTCTTGCTCAACTGCCCAGGCCAGCTACAACTTCCTGGCCTTCTGCCTTAGCCTCTTAAGTAGCTATGATTAAGGCCTACACCACCATGCCCAGCTAGAAAATCTCTTTAAATGAAAACTTTACTTCCTTCGCTTCTGAGCCAGTGGTTTAAGTCTGCCCTGAAGCATCATCTCGGCCTCTTATCCTATAATACCACATGCTAGTCCTGCTGCCAGGGATGAGCTTGCTGCACATTTTTTTGTTAAGGTTTCAGATAATCCCAAACTTAAGTATAAAAATATAAAATCTTACTCTGAGTTTATCTGAATTTTTAAAAATGACAATATATCGGCATATCTGAACACAGAAAAATGCTTGTAATGCAATTATAACAATGATATTCTGCAAATAAGCACTTCCGAGGCGTCCTTCAGTTACAGTGAGTTCAAGGCCATCTTGAACTACATGGGGAGTTCAAAAGAAGAAAAAAACAAACAAACCAAACCCTTTAGGGAAGTTACTTTCAGCCCTTTTACTGTTTACTAACACTTCTAAAGGGTGGAGGTACTTAGAGAATACATAACAGAAAGAAACAAAAAAAGGGGACAGAATAAATTACTTTGCAGAAAACAGTCGCCAAAGGAAAAGCCATCTGTTTTATGGCTATCAGTCAGACCATATTTAAAATAACTCCCAGGTAAAATGATCTCCAGAAACAATCTTTATTCAATCTTCTGCACTAGGATTAACAATTTAATCAATATTATTCTATAGCTTTACAAATAATGCACTTGTAAAATCCATTTGCCAATAACTTCCCAAAACCTCAACATTAATAAGCCAAAGTTCACACTGCTAATAAATGACAGAAACTAGATCCAAATCCTACTGTGCAATTCCTAGCGTAACACTCTTTCCACTTGTGTATTTCAAATTACTGCTTGTATTTTCCAGTCTATACATTAGAGAGCATTAGAAGTAACTCTAAAACAGAGAACCTGGGCAAAAGGACATTCACTGATCAACTATCATTTTGTGACTTTAATTTATGAAACAATATTATTTCAGGGTGGGGGTGTAGCTCAGTGGTTGAGCACTTCCCTAGCAGTGCAAGGCCCTTGGTTCAATCTCCAGCACCACAAAGAAAAAGGAGGAAAATGCCATCCAAACTCAGGAAGGAAACATTCAATCAACGAACTGACACATGGAGTCCCCCACCACCTTCACCACCACTCAAGGCCCCAGCCCAGAAAATTACTGAATTTGTTGAACTTTATTTTGAAAAATTTCAAAGCTACACAAAAATTAAGAATAGCACAATGAACACTCTAATATTCTTTGCCATTTTTGACTGTTCTCCACATTTTTTGTCAAGTTTGTTTCATCTATCTCTAAAGTAAGACTGCTGTTGTGGTTATTTTTGCAGAGTTGAAGATAAGTTGCAGACATTATGACTTTACATTCCTAACAGATTGTCATGTTGGTCCCAAATAAGCAGTATCTTGCAGCATTATCAGTTAGAAACGCAGCCCGATGGATGGACTGCCCACACTCAAGACTTCACCAGCTGTCCTAGGGGCATCCTTTACAAGCGCTCCTCCTCCCTGCCAGGAACCAGTGAAGGATAACACTCTGCTTTCAGCTGCCCTGCCTCTTTCCTCTCCTTTGCTCTCAAAGACCTGTGGTCTTTTGTTTCATTTATTTTTTGATGCAAGCAAGCTGTTTTGTATATGAATTATTTATTAACAATTACTGTGAAGCTGGGTGTGATGGTGCACGCCTGTAATCCCAGCACTTGGGACGCTGAGGCAGGAACATTGCTGTGAGTTCGAGACCAGCCTGGGCTACACAGTGGGTTCCAGGTCAGTCTCAACTACACAGTGAGACAGTGTCTCAAAAAACAAACAAACCCAATTACTGTGGTAGCAACTTTAACGGACACATATATAAATGTGTACAATTTAAATGCAGAAAACGTGATACATGAACAGAGCATATAGTGAAGGGACCGTGAAACCCTATTAGTACTGATCTTGCCAGACAGTTGAAAGATTAAAATAGATTATGCCAAACAAAAATGCTTGCCCAGACTGCAATGTAATTAAAAATCATAACTATAATAAATACTATATTATAATAAATATAATATTGAATACTTCTAGCACAGGACATCATGCTAAGTGTTTACTACATACTACCTGTTGTGATCCATGTTTTAGTGATAAGGAAACTAAAATTTAGGTAATGTATTCTTACAGTCAGGATCTTGTATGGCAATTTCAGAGCTTGCACTTTAACCATGATAGTCACTCATCAACCAAATAAATATTAATAGCAACAGTATCACAAGTATCATTTAAATCCTTACTATGTGCCAAATGCTGTGTAAGACCACATGCATATAAAACCTATTACAGCTGGGCATGGTGGTGCACGCCTGTAATCCCAGCACTTGGGAGGCTGAGGCAGGATGATCACTGTGAGATTGAGACCAGCCTGGGCTACATAGTGAGTTCAGTCAATCTCAACTACATAGTGAGACCCTGTCTCAAAAAAAAAAAAAGAAAAGAAACCTATTACAGGTACCCTTCAGGAGCCACATAACATTGGCCCCATGACCCCATGGGATTAAAAAAAAAAATCCCAGGATGTTTAGGTCTCATATAAAAAAGCATAGTGTTTGATATAAACCATCCATATCTTTCTCTACATTTTAACTGTATGTTAGGTATACTAAAATTACACAAATGCTGTTGTTAGTTGTCACACTGCACTGTCCAGAGAACTCTGACATGAAAGAAACAAAAAAGTCTGTATGTTTTCAGGACAAACCCAATTTCCCTTTGAGTATTTCCTATGAGTGACTGGTTGAGTCTATGGGTGAGGGAGGAATCCTCAGGCAGAGGCTGACTGTACCTAATACCTAGCTTAGACTGTACACCAGGTAATTCCACAATATCTATAATAGAAAAATCTATAATAAATCCACAGACTACGAATAAGTTTAGCATTATATCAACTTACTTTGTTGTCTTTCTTTCCAGCAGTTATTTCGAATATTAGTTACATAATCTTCTTCCACACTCTTTTCTACTTTTTGTAGTAACATTCCTTTGTATTCATTTTTAAAGTCCTTGTTGACATAATAAACCACTCCCAAGTTTTCTGTCTGCATTTTTATAGTTTGCCCTGAACCACTGTGGAAAAGAAATGCATAATTATTTTTAGTTAAAATTGGGCATTCTAACATTCTACCACAAACTAAAGTAACAAGATAAAAAGTAATTTAAAAGTTAAGAACTTATAAAGTTCTCTCAATTTTTAGCTAACGAAAGTTTTATCTGGAAAAAATTAAAAGTTATGCTTATATTTGGCAATCTTGTTTTTAATACTTTAAAATCACTGCCAATATGATTTTACAGTTTCTTTCACATTCACTATCTTAAAGTTTTTGCATCAAATTTCCTTTATCTCCTGACCTCTCAGTGAAGTCATTTCTCACTTAACGACATAAAGCTATGTAAGATCAATTATTATCCTTTTTGTCTTGCAAGTATTTTTGTCTTTTAAAGTAGTGTTTGCCTTCAATGTCAACACAATACCTACCACATTAAATTCAAGTTCAAATATAGCACTACTGTCCTTACACACAGTTGAAAATATAAAGTAACATAAAACACATTCATCACTTATGTAGCTCTTCTAAAAATTAGAGATTTTAAAATTTGGTACACATGTAGTAAAAGATTTGGCACTTGAAAGTATAAAAGAGTACAGCCCTTTTAAGAGAAGCTAGATAAGAAACAGCAACAATTATTTTTGTAAAACTTCACTTAGCTACTTACGATCTGGGATATAAAGAATAAGGAGGATTAGAGACCATCAAGTGGCTTAATAATGACACGAGGATCAATACAATTATGGGCATCAGCTGGATAAACACAGAAAAACCTCCCTATAAAAAAATCATCAAAGAATAATAAATTGTAATATAACCATAGTTGTCAAGAATGCAATAGTTGTCATACATTTTTAGATGCAGAAGGGGCATCTGAGATCATCCAATGCTTTCAAATCTGCCCAATCACACCAGGCTCCTGAGGTTGTTCTTAAGACTGCAATTTTCCAGGCACACTGGCAGACTGATCTGAGAGCTCTGCTAAGGCTGACCTCGTTCTGTACATGCAGAGGTCCTCCTTTCTCTGGCACACAGAGAGGCTACCAATAAGCCACACCTGCAGCACTGCTTTCCTCTGGCTGGGAGATGGGAGATGGGGTGGAGGAGCCCAACCTTCTAATTTCTAGTCTGGATCCCTTTCTCGTTACCTTTCCACCTCATGCCTATACCAAGTGAGTACAACCACATTAGAACAAAGCAAAGTTACTTCTAATTTAAGTTTTCAGTATTAATTCTGAATTTTTAGGATCAAAAAGTATCTCCAAAACATGCGGAGTACAGGTGTGTCTTCACTAGAATCCAGAATACCAAATCTGAGGGTCATGCTGCCCAGCCACCCCCAGCGGTGACCCACACTCCACTCCACAACTCTCTAAGGGATTCCTAGTCTCCGCCACCCACAGCTGGTAAAGAAAACTCATTAATCTTAAAATAGCTCGTCCTGCTTTTAGACAACCATAACTGCTTCTCATGGGCTGAAATCTGACATTCTGTGATTCATAATCATATCATACACATACATCTCCTCTTTCTTCTTCTCTTTCATGTCCACTATGTCGATGCTGATGTTGATGGCTGTAACCAGCTCGGCCATTTGAAAATGAATGTACACTACCTACGAATCAAAGTTAAAAGCAAGGTTAAGTTAGGGGGAGCAGTTGTGATCAGAAAAGTTACACATCTTTTACACTTCTAGAAAATTACTAAAATAACAAATGTGTATTATGAGTGGTGAATATTAACTATCCTCTCCTCAGGGCATGAAGGGTGGATAGAAACAGGACCGATCCTTCCCAGAAGCGGTGCCCTCTCCAGGAAGTACAAGTTCCTCCCTTGTAGAGGCTCGGCTGGGGCGCCTCAGGAGCAGCCATACAGAGAGGACTTTCCTGCTTTTATGTACTTCCCTTCTTACTGGGAAATTTTGCTTTTGCATTTAAATGAATCATAAACATCTCTAAAACTCAAAGGACAGCACCCTAGTTTATTCTGAAAAGCTACCTAATACACCACAGTATGGGTGGATTACAATTTATTCATTCTCTTGCCGATGGATATTCCAGTTCAGATAAGCTGACACACCAGAAATGGTATTACTGACAAAGTAAGCTATGTTAAACTAGCAAAGGACTGCAAATCAGCCATGAGAAAAGCATTCACTATTGCCTGGAAGATTTCTGATTGTTCCTAGTTTATTTTCTATCAAAATTACTAGTTTTAATACTTTTTATGATAATTATGTATTTGAATGCATAATAAAAATTTCAGCTTATATTTTCAACCTTTAATTTATGTTTATATTTATACACCCTCGTTGCTTTGAGGATTATGCATTGTGTCTGTCCCATCAATGAGTGCAATCCTCATTGATATTGAGAAAGGGCCATCACATTCTCATTCATAAAGATTCTCCCACTTTTGAACAGCATGTTTAACTCACCACCTTAAGTAAAACGTGGGACTATAATTTTAACTCCCATAGAGGAGCGTCTCCCAAAGAAAATTGCTTTCTATACAAACTAGTCACAGTAAATGTAGGTGGAATTAAAAGCTACCGATGTTGGTACTGTGTGAACCATTCATTTAGTGCTGTCCGTTATTCGCTGTGATAGCCTAGTTCAAGTAATTATATCTATCTTAATAAGACCCCAAAACTTTAAAATCTGAGTCAGACTTTTTACTATTTCATTAGCAACACATACGTCTGAAGGAACAATTTATACTGTCATTAATAAAACATTTACAGGGATATGGAGAACTTGTTGGCCATCCAGGTAGGTGCAGGAGATGTCACATAATTCTAATAGCACTTACCTAAGACATCACACTGAATTTCCTGCTTAGACTTTCTTCAGCTTTAGATAAAATACAGGATATCTGTACACTTCAACTGTTTTTCAATTAAAATATATTCTACAGAAAGGCAAGCTACAGAAAAAGTAACAAAACTACCATTTTTCTCCTCCTTGCTGTGAAAGGCATCGCAGGGCCCTAACCAGTGAGAAACAAGGGAGAAAGCAGATGTGGCTCTGAAAAGCCAACAGGAGCAAGGGCCTTTATCCTCACAAAACATGGTACTTAATTAATATGACAGTACCTGAAGGAAATCCACCACCAAAAAATATATTGAACAGGTCTTCTGGGGTTATGTCCGCCTCACACCCTCTGTGGAAGTTGAACCTGCCATTGCTCTGGTTATTACAGGCTTGCTCTTCACTGCCGGTGAGGTCATACTGTTTTCGTTTCTCAGGATTACTTAAAACAGCATAAGCATTTCCAATCTCTGAAAAGGTATTGAGTAAGAGCCGGTAAGCAAAGTTTTTATTTTCTAAAAGATTGCCCCATATAAGGAACCGTCACTTAAAAAATTACTGGAAACTAATGAATTATAAAAGTGACAATTTAAAAATATATTGTATATTGTTCCCAAATGCACATATTATTTCTCTTTGCAACTTTTTACACTGGACAGTCTTACCATCTTGGGGAAAAAAGAATGTCATCTATTCTTTCTTAATACTGTGCTCCATCCACTCAACCTTCTGCCCAGAGTACCCTAATTCATTCAGATTTGTCAAACTAATAATAACCAATAATCTATGGAGTTATCATTTCTGCATCCAATACCATATTACTTAATCTGTTAATATCCTCACTTCACAGCTGAGGTTTCTGAGGCTCCAAAAGGCTAAGTAATTTGCTTAAGGTCAACTTTTTCTTTTTTCTTCATTGAGTTTATTGGTACATTTTAGGTATACAGTACAGTTACATTAATTTTTGGGATCTTGTACCTTTACATGACAGGTCTTGGTTCTCATTTTTTCCCCTGTCCCTGCCCTCCCTTCACCCCTTCCTCCCCTCCCCATTTAGAAACATTTTATTTCTATTTTTTCATTTTCTATTTTTTTTCTTTCCCTCATTACCTTTCCCCTATGTTTCCCACTTTCCCTACACCTTTAGCCCTTTTCTTCCCATTTCACATTGTCAATTATCTCATTAGAATCTTGTGTACTATTATAGTTTTTCACACCAGGCAAACTATTCAGTATTTGCACATGTGACTTATTTATTTCACTTAGGAGTATATCCTCAATATGTATCCATTTTCCTATGAATGAATCTAATTTCTCATTCTTTGTGGCTGAGAGTATTCCATTTTATAGAAAAACCACATTTTCTTTGTGCAGTTTCCAACTGATGGGCAAATGGGCTGTTTACAAGTTTTAGCTATTACAAACTGTGCTGCTATAAACATAGGTGTGCATATATCACTGTGATATGATTCTTTTAATTCTTTTGGAAAGATACCCAGAAAAGAAGATGGCTGGGTCAAATGGAACCTCTAGTCCCAGCTCTTTGAGGTATCTCCATATTGATTTTCATAGTGGTTGCACCAGTCTGCACTCCCACCAACAATGGAGAAAGGCTCCTTTCTCCCTACAGCCCCACCAACATTTGTTATTGAGTGATTTCTTGATAGCAGCCATTCTTTGTAGGGTAAGGTGGAATCTCAGTATTGTTTTCATTTGCATCTCTCGAATGTTATCTGCATCTCTCGAATGAAGGTCAACTTCTTTGCACAGTAAAGATACCCACACTCTCCCATGCATCGACAACAAAATGTAGATTTGCACACCAGTGCTACAGAGAGCTGTTCTAGTTCTGAACAATATTAAGACAGTAAATTTCATGGAAGTACTGATCATTTCTCTTTTCACTAACCCCATGGTCCTTCATAAAGTCTAAAGTATTTTTTAATAACGCATGTTCTCGGTTTACCTATCTCACTTTGTTATTTCATGATATTTATTCATAAAGAAGTTTCTCATCTCCTAGACCCATGTCCAAAGAGGCTTGGCACACTGGCTCTGAGAATGTCCTCTTGAGCATGTATAATAGCTGCAATGCCCTGAATCTAAAAGCAGAAACTGCCCTATCTCAATCTAAGCTTCTAATCATTGACAAATACAGCTTGCTTTTTAAACTAGACTGTAAGCCTCTTGCAACAGATATTAGATATTTTTAAAAATCCTTTTAAAATTTCATTTGATGGCTGCCTTAAGTATTGTCCGAGCAAACAGATGATCACTAGGTAGTGTTAGAGGATTACACATCACACTAAATTTAATTATATACAGATATGCTAGCACTTCCTTCTGATGGGACTTCTTTAAAACTGGAATTCAGAGATGATAGCTTTCAGGTGGTCTGTGAACCTTATTCTTTGAAAAAATGTGGTCGGTGGTATATCTACCTGACGATATGGTCTCAAATGTTCTTCAGATTCTCAGAGATCTGTGACTTAGAAATGTAGCCATCATTTGTAATATTATTTCAATGGGAAACTATGACCAGAGATTAGGAAAAGGTACTTACAGCAACTGCAAGGTATTAACTTACATTTTTTTTAAGCATATCTATATTCTCTGCTGAAGTTTGTGGTGCCTGCGACAGGATCATTTTTAGGGTTTAACATCAATAAACTGGACTATTTCATGTAGTTTTGCAATGCAATTACTTCTAAGAGCATTAATATACTGAGTAACTCAAATTTCAAGGCTTTCTATTTTAAAAAACAATGAATTGCTGGGCTGGTGCTGCTCGCCTGTAATCCCAGCACTTGGGAGGCTAAGGCAGGAGGATCGCTGTGAGTTCGAGACCAGCCTGGGCTACATAGTGAGTTCCAGGTCAGTCTCAACTATATAGTGAGACCCTGACTCTAAATAAATAAAGAAATAAAGAAAGAAAGAAAGAAAGAAAGAAAGAAAGAAAGAAAGAAAGAAAGAAAAGAGAGAGAGAGAAAAGAAAGAAAGAAAGAAAGAAAGAAAAGAGAGAGAGAGAGAGAGAGAGAGAAAGGAAGGAAGAAAGCAAGCCAGCCAGCCAAACACAAAGATATTTTAGAAGGTATTGCTGAAAAACTGTCACAAGCTATACATAATATTATCTGTAAAACAATTTATTCAATATATGCGAACAGAGTCATTTTCTATCCATTTGTTTTGTGTTGTAGCTGCAGTCAAGTTTTGTTTTGTTTTCAGTTCCTTGTAATCTAAAGATTTAAGTCTTTTTATTTTGGTGTCCAAAAGACTTGCAAAGTACATTTCTACCTATCGCTTATTTCACCAAAAATACCTTCCATCTCATCCAATTTTCCTTAATTTTTTTATTTTGAGGCAACCATAGAATCACATGCAACTGTAACAGTACAGAGATCCTTTTGCCTAACTTCCCCTGATGGTAGTACTGCAGGAAATTATAGTACAATGTCACAAACACTGCCTGAGAGAGTCCATATGTGGAAGACTTTCACCACTTACACTGTCCTTTCATATAACATTTCAACTTTTCTAGCACCTGTCCTTAACTGCTGACAATGACTGCACTATTCTACATCGTGCTAGTTTTATCATTTCAAAAATGATATATAAGTGGAGCAATACAGTACATGAATGGAAACTGGCCTTTCCTGGTTAGCATGGCTCTTAGAGACTCCTGCAGGCCATCCTATGTCAGCAGGACATCCGATGGATTCCTGAGGAGCCTGGCGAGGTGAGGACAGGGCAATGTTTCCTTAACCATCCATCATTCCTAGATGTTTCTAGCCATTACAAACAACATGGTCTACGTGTCTTAAACATCAATTTTTGTTTCTCTGGGATAAGTGTCCCAGAGTGTACTGCCAGATTATACAGTTGCTGCATACTTGAGTTTTCAGACAAACACCCAGGTTGCTGGATAGAATAACTGCTTTTGATGTTCCACTGACAAGGCAGAGTGCACCAGGCTTTGCCTCCGCACCAGTATTCAGAGCTGCCCTTATTTCTTGTCTCTAGGATACGTGTGCAGTGATACAGCATCTTGGTTTCACTTTGAATATCTGTAATGGCTAATGAAGGATGTTGAAAATTTTTTCATATGCTTCCTCATCATCTGTATATCACCTTCACAAAATATCTCCAACTCTTTTAAGTTTGTTTTTTATTATTGTGGTATGATGCTTTTAATTTTTCAACATTTTTTTGAGTGTGTGAAAACAAAGTGTAAATAAGGACTAAATGCTATAATAGATAATGTAAAATAGAAAGAAAAGGTGCAAAGGGGAAGGGTTAAAAGAAAAGAAAGAAGGGAATGGAATTAATAAAAGAAAAAGATGCTTTTAATTCTTTTGGTAAGATAACCAGCGGGGGAATAGCTGGGACAAACGGAACCTCTAATCCAGCAGCACAGTTTGTAACAGCTAAGTCTTGGAAACTACCCAAACACTAATCAACTGAAGATGGATAAAAAAGATGTACTTTTGTTTTTCTTTCAAGTTTTAAGAGTTCTTTATGTACCGAAGATATGAGTCCTTTGTCATATACGTGCTTGGCAAATATTTTCTCATCCTGTAGTTTGTCTTTTCATCCTTGTAAGAGTACAGCAAACTTCCAAAAACGTTAGAAGACCAATTTATCAACTTTTTCCCCCATGAACTGGTGTTAAGTCTTAAGAAACAACTGCCTATCCCTATATCCTAAAGATTTGTTCCCATTGCTTTTTGCTAAAAGTTAAAAGTATTACATTTTATATTGACATTTGTGATCCATTATGAGTCTTTTTTTTTTTTTTAAGATGATCAGATAAAGCGTGAGCCTTTGGTCAGGGTTTTCTGTTTATCAATTTCCAATTACACGAAAACCAATTTTTGAAAAGGCTGTCTTTCCCTATTGAATTGCTTTGGCACCTTTGTCAAAAATCATTTGAGTACCAAGGATTTAGCTCAGTGGTTCCGCCACCTGCCTCGCAAGAACAAGGACCCAAGTTCGATCCCTGGTACCTGCCCCGCCCCAAAATCATTTGAGTAAGCTGGGCATCGTGGTGCATGCTTATCACCCAAGCACACTGAAAGGCTGAGGTGCATTTGAGTCCAGCAGACAACTCAGTAACTTTACAAGATTCTTTCTCAAACTATAAAATTGTTTTTAAAAGTGTAGGGTGAGAGGTGGGGATGCAACTCAGCACAAAGACTCTGGGAGCAGTCCTCAGCAGCAAAAATCGGTTGAGTATAGTTGTATGGATCTATTCCTGGATTTCCTGTCCTGTACTCCTGGTATGAATGTCTGTCTGTCAACACCACTCCTTGGATTACCATAGCTTCACAGCAAGTCCTAAAGTTGGGTGTACTGATTATTCCCCATTCTAATACTTTATAGCTACTGAATTTCTTCTACTTCTCCACACTTTAGAATAAACGTGTAAGTCTTGCTAGATTTAGGACAGAACCTGTACTAAGTCTGCATTTCA